TAAAGTATAGCAACAGTTATCATTGTTATCATACACCCTTACTCGTTTATTTTGAAAATATCAAACGGAAGTGGCTCTGATACCCGGCAGTTGTAGTTTTGTTTTGGTCGGCGCTTGATAGTCTAGCTACTTTAGCAATAATACGTGTATTAATATTCAACAGATGGACTGCTGCATTGTATCTGCTCTGTGGTGTCTAATACCACTTTATTTGTTTCTGCACTTTCTGTGTTTCATTTTCGCGGACGCAGATTTCACTCTGCTGTGGGCAAGTGTGACAGGACATGGGCCAGGTGGGTGAGCTTATTTAATTTAGACGTATCAGTGTATCTATCAGTTTGATTAGGCATATAAACAGTCAATTACGATGGCTGTACACGTCGATTATCAATGGTATCGTCGGACAGTGTAAACTGTCTCTAAACAACTCTTCATAATCAATTAGCTGACGTATGTTTGTATGCCTTTATTCATAATAATGTAACGTGAGGGTCCGATGTGTGGTGGATGGATCACTCTAGTTAAGAGAAACAGAAGGATGGAGACGGATAACTTTCTCAGCAGCACTTTACTGTCACCCACATTGTTCTGCTACACAACAACCAACACTTCCTTGTTACTCATCACAAGTCCCGTCGTTATCCAATCAGAGGTTAGGATGATTAAACTCAAGGCAAACATTATGACAAACACAGAAGTAGATTCAATATAATGTGGTCACAGTTACTAGGTGCTACTGCAAAACATGTAAGTATATCAATATTAACTTTGTAAACTCAAATATGTAAATAGTTAACTGTATAAATGTTAACTTATTTTTAACTTAAACTTAAATACATGGATTAACTCAAATATAAGAATTTACTTCACTTTTAAATCTTACAATAGATAGCCATTACAATATATCTGTATACAAAAATACAATATCCCAGAAAACATGTACACAGCTGAAAAGTTGCCAAATGCATTTGATGTAGGAAAGGTCAAAGGGAACCGTTGACCCTAGGGGGAGGAGGGTTCAAAGTCTTAAAGATTACTACAAGCTGTCACAGTTTTAATTGTTTTCTGTTTTTCAGAATGACGAATTGAATGAATATATTGTTTGAACTCGTGTCTTATTGCAATGAAGCATGTTTTTTTTTTTACCTGTGTGAATTTAGATTTATGTATGTGAAATGTGGCCATTATAATTAAGCGATTGATCAAGTACACGCAAGTGGTTTTCTGTGTACTGATTTCCCAGAGACCAAACAATGCATTCTTCCAAATTAAAACCGAATGTTTAGCAATTTTATGTTTGAAACATGCCTGCATCCATAACTTTAATGCAGAGCCTCAAGTATTTTTTTTTTGTATTTTTGTGGACACTATGTTTTATGTAGCCTACATAAAATAATGTAGGCTACTCAAACATTTGTATATTAATGCATTTATTTTGGATAATATATCATTTCTTATTTATATAAATTTCTTGTTTTTTTAATCAAAAATTTCAATAATCTCACACGTTCCAAAAGTATTACTTAAACCTCCATAATCAAGTATTGGTTGGGCTTTCATACAAACTGATGGAGTACAAGTTTGTATTATAACAAAGCTCTGTTTAGAGAGGGCAAAAAAAACACCAGCAGACAAATAGTGAAACTTAATTGTGAGTAGTTTTTAACACTCATTGAAAATACACAAGGTTGAGAGTTGAACTTTGTCTAAACACACTTGTAAAATTGTTAGTATTTTTGAATTATCTTTGGATTAAAGTGGCTGTTTTAATAAATATTTCATCTACATGTTGTCGTTTACACAGAATCTTTCCTAGCTGCCTCTGAAGGTCCACAACATGTGTTGGTTTGATCCATATTAGGGAACAGACTCAGGCTGCCTTTGCACAGGCTGATATTTGATATGGATTGTTGACACTTGTGTTTCTTTGTAAACCAGAAAAAAAGCTAAAAGGGCTGGTAGTGTGGGTCACTGGAGCTTCCAGTGGCATTGGAGAGGAGCTCGCCTATCAGCTGGCTCGCTGCGGGTCACATCTCATCCTTTCTGCTCGACGTGAGGATGAGCTAAAGAGGGTGAAACGTCGCTGCTTAGGTAAGATATTCAATATTTCTTTTCTCATGTATTTCTTACAAGCTATTGCATGGCTTCCTGGCGCAAACCTCCTCAACCTTCACTAATATATTTGAAACTTTGTAATCCTCTCAGTGCAGTAGCAGCACTGTGGTAAAACACCTAAATAACAATGTGAACATTTGACTGTTTTGTCTTTTTAGCATTTGGTCTTCCTTTAAACCAACAATAAATTGCAAACAGTACTTCACCTAACTTTGAAATATTTTTTTTTTCCCTCAAGAGCACTCTGACCTCAAGGATAAAGACATTCTTGTTCTCCCACTGGATTTGTTGGAGAGGACATCGCATGAATTAAAAACAAAGACTGCAATCCAGTACTTTGGACATGTAAGGACGCTGCTGCTGATAATCTATATTTCTACACTTTCCTGACTTGCATGACTTTGAATGACTTGTTTTCTATGACTCAGCAAAAACAATTCTGTCCAGTTACAAAAAAAAGGTATAATTGAAAGCATGCTTCGATGTGTCTTTTCAGATTGACATCCTCATTAACAATGGCGGCCGAAGCCAGCGTTCTCTGTGCATGGAGACCACTGTTGATGTGTATCAGGCTTTGATGGAGCTCAACTTCCTGGGTACAGTCTCTGTCACTAAGCAGGTGCTGCCCCACATGACTCAGCGAGGCACGGGGAGCATTGTGACTGTCAGCAGTATTGTTGGCATTGCTGGAGCACCCCTGTCAACAGGTTACTCTGCTAGTAAACATGCTCTTCAGGTAAAGGGAATACAGATTAGCACTAACATGCAATAACTACACTAACTAATAATAATAACTAACTTTTCCACATTATTTTCCATTGTCTGACAGTGTTTATGGATAAATTGTTAAGGATTAAATACTTTTAGGTGAATTTATTCATTTAATGCATCCCTAACTTTTCATTAGTTTAATTCTGGAATAAATACTTCTTTTTACAAATGATCAGCGTTCCTGGCTTTTGCAAACACTGATGCTGATTGTGACTTTATTGTCTGTAGGGCTTCTTTAATTCCTTGAGGACCGAGCTGACTGAATTTCCAAACATACTCATCAGCACAGTGTTACCGGGGCCTGTGCGATCACAGATTGTCCAAAATGCCTTCACAGAGGAACTGAACAAGGTAATGCCTGTTATATGTTGTAGAGCTATTAGTTTTGAAAGTTAAAAAAAACATACGGACAATTGTGTGATGTAATTTGACCGTAGCTATATCGTATTTTTGTGTCAGTAACCATTGTTCCTGTCATCCTTTAGCCTGTGGCCTCAGCTGGTAGTCAGGAACACAAATGCCAACAAGTCGTTGTGTACGTTTAATGCTGGTGGGAATTTCCAATGGTGTCAAAGAAATGTGGATTGCACAGCAGCCCTTCCTTCTGTTTTACTATGCCTGGCAGTATGCTCCCACAGTTGCCTGGTTCGCCACAAACCTGATGGGACGAAAAAGGGTGCAGAATTTTAAAGCTGGTCTGGTAGGTATAAAATCAAAGTTTCTTCAGGGCTGAGAAAATAAAATACAGGCGCTTTAACACATTTCTATTACACATGATTTTTGAAGACCTTAACATATTCAGATAAACTTTACTCATAGGTAGAGGTTGGGGAAAAATGTAGATTCTTATCTTCTGAGATTTTAAATAGATTCATAACTTCTAAAAATATATATATTTTTGGTTTATCAGTCAATCCCTGCTATGTGCTCAGGCTGCTGGCTCTTTAACTCAGTAGAGCAGCAAGAAATTCAGCCAGTCCCACACATGACTGGAGTAGATCCTGAAGTATGTACTTATTCAAAAATAGACTTTGAATCATGAATCCAGAATTGTGTTGAATTGAAAATAGATTGTCAATTGAATCGTGACCCAAAGAATCGAATCGAATTGAATCGAATCGTGAGACACCGAAGTTTCCCTACTCAGAGGTGCTCACTTTTGATGAGATATCTTTTCTGTTAGAGCTCAGACTTGGGGATTCTTACAATGTAAAGGACAGAAAACACTTATATACAGCACAAGCAGAGCAGTCTTTTAACAGCTCTGGGGTTCTCAGCTGTTATTGACCTTGCTATGATCTTGCAAGAAGACAGTAAGCAGGGAATGAAAAGTGAACAGGACTTCTCCCCTGCGGTACAGACTGACTAACACTGTCTGTTGGCCTCTGCTGGACAGTGACAGCTGAGGGCCACAAAGAAAGGTCATGTTCCAACTGACGGGACACTGGAGCGCCTGTTTAGTAAGGTCTGTGAAGTATTCTTTTGAGATGAAAAATAAACTGCCACCTGAAGCCTAAACAGCTTGAGATCTAGTCAGTATCCTTGAACAGTAAAGTCACTCAGGTTAGGCTAATTTCAGGGGAATGCCTTGTGGCCACCAAACGAGTACTATAGCATTAAAACAAATTATATAACGTGTAGAGAGCTTGTTTGACTACATGGACAGTAGTCAAAAATCAGTGCTAACAGTACACCTTTTTCTTTCTAGGATGCAGACTCTGCATACTTCACAAAGCCCAAGACTTCCTGAGAGTCACGACCACAGGATGAAACCGGTTTAAAGCAACCCAGCAGTTGGAAGATTAAGCGTGGGATGGGTTATCCTGCTAATGTAGGGGTCTTTACCTTCTAGAAAGAAAACATTAACATCTGCTCTACTTCCAAAGCATGACAGGGTTGGAGGAAAAGCTGTATATTTTCAGTGGTTTCATCACAAATGAAAAATACATCTGTTATTTTTCCTGTTTTGTAATGAACGCATTCAGACTATATAACCTTCATGTTTAGAGCCTACATGAATGTTTAACTAGTGCTATGGGGACTTCACTTCCACAATAAAAATCTGGATATATATATTTTTTTTACGTGGCAAGTTAATAAAATGAAACCTCAAATGAGCTTCTGCCAAGCTGTTTTATTAGAAGTATGTACAGTTCCACATATAAAATCAATGTACAAGAGACTATGGACAAAATCATTGAACTTTTCATATTCAGTTGTAAACAAGTGAATTGTAAACATAAGAGCACTAAACACTTCACACACACAGTAAGACATACGCAAGGCACATCATTGATATCAAAACATTAAAATGATTCTCCTGTGTTTGTGGACGTTGGAGGGATATCACCTGAAAAATTAGAAATCTTAAAAGCACGATAAAACCAGAGGTATACAGCAGGTGCCTTCTTTTTAAAGCACAAACATCAATAAACAAATCATAAAACATGGGTGCTCTTTCAAAATACAAATGGGAATTATTTTCTTGAATGTGCTGTTCTTGGAGGTAGTCCACATTTCCAGTCGAAGTCTGATAACTTCTACAAGAGCGCAGTGGTGATGCCACTGCTTCATCCTTTGCCGTGTAGGAAATTAAGCACCTAAACAAAGTCCAAATTTGAGTGAAAATAAAAAAAGAACAAAGATGTTTCTCATACAGACATTATTCTTCTCGAGTCATGTGACTCAATAGTGTACAAGTAAAAGTTCAAAAATGGTTTTCTCCTGACTTAGATATTGTTTCCAAAATAATCTCCAAAAGAACCATTAACGTTGGAAATTGACATTTTGCCTGGTTGTTGTGGTCAGCCCCCAGTCAGAGGCAGGGGAAGTGAAGCGGGGCTGAGGAGTAAATGGGGTACCCTAGAGGGGGATCTGCTGCCTGAACAGTAAGGTTCCTTAACATGAAGGGATGAGCCTGAATGCTGTAACGCTCCTCGTCATCATTAGTAGCATACAAGAGCTCCCAGGAAAGGTTGGCCCACTGTCCTCGTACCCCCTCCCCGTTCAGACGGCCTAAATGCACCAGCTGCTCCTGCAGGGAGAGGACTCGCCCAGTGTAGGTACCCTGTGGGAAAAAGTCAAATTCACAACATAAGTTTTACTGGGATTTGCTCTTACAGTAATTGTACTTTTCAAACAACCTCAGATTGAATCCACTGACAACATATCCAGCAGGTAAGGTAAAAATCAGATGTACTTGTATATTATGTAGCTCTGGGAGAATGTAAACAAGGACTGGTGTGTCATTACCATAGCGAGGTCGTGTCCTAGAGAGAATAAGAAGGGTTTCTCCTGAAGGACGCTGTCGTGCCAGCCTTTCTCCGTCACCAAACCAATGTACCAATCTGTTTCATATTCCTCCAATACGCTAAACAATTCCTCTGGGGACTCCACCGGTCCCAGACTCGCTTGATCAAACAGTAGCTTAAAACTGAACCTAAAGGCAACGGACAAACATTGAGACACAATTTAATGAAATAAACATTTCTTCTGGCATAAACAAGCTCTAGTGATAAGACTTACCAAAACATAAAAAGATGTACGTTTTTAGAAACTAAGTTTTACCTGAAAGCACGGAGAGCGAGCTGGTAAAGTTCTTTACTTGAGGAGAGCCAGTTGAGTCCTTCCGTCCACGGTATGTCTCCACAATAGAGTCTATAAACATAACTGGGACTGGTGAAAGAAGACTCCGCCCCCAGGGAGATGAGACATGATAGTGCAACCTTTGCATGCAGCTCTTTCAAGGTTTCATCCTCCTTCAGGGCCTTGGTCATGTCCTCTGAGGTCTCGCCTTGCACAGTGGGCCCAAAGCGACCCAAAGTGAAGCGAAACCAGTCCTCAGGAAACAAAGGCTTGAGCTGCAGCAAGCGGGACCGGAGTAAGGGTGCTGTCCTCCACCCTGTCGGTAGGTTAAACACCTCCGACTGGGGGCAGCTGAAGTTCAGCTGAGGGAGAGAGGCTGGACTCTCTCTGAAGACCTCTGGGTTCCGGCCTTTGTCCACAGCTGGCAACCCGATGCCCAGACCTAGAGGCTGCAGTGGCTGCAGGGCAGAGAGAGCCATGTTTTCAAAGAGACTGTCCATCTCCACAGACCCTGGCAGAGACGTCCCGGTCTGCAGCGCTGTGTGTCCAGGCTGGACCTCTGCAGTCACTAACGCCACTGTCCGCCTGGCTGGTTGAGGTCCGAATAAGTCATCCTCGTCAGACCAATCTCCGAAGGAGGTCAAACTAGAGCTGTCCTGTCTGAACCTGAGAGACGAAACATTAGATTCCACCATGACAACCTCAGGTGGCTGGTTACAAGTAGTCTGTGCCATCTGGGAGGACTGGGACTTCCTGCCTCCAAGCCCTGGCCCTTCTTCACTGCTCCACAGAAATCCTTTATGTTTCTGCACACAGTGTCGGAGGAGCAACCAGACGAGAGCTTTAAGAAAATCATCCTGAAGTTTCCTCAAGTTGTCATGAGAGTCGATGATACCGGAGAGCACATTTCGAGCATCAGAGTAGACTCGCACTGCAAGAGCAGCACAAGGTGTGAGGGCGTTCCCCCAGTGCAGGTTAAAGCCCTGGGTGAAACCGAGCCGCTCCGGGCGCTCAAAAGCGGCCTCGAATACCTCATCGACTCTTCGGGCTTCCACTGTGTGGCAGGATGTCTCCTGCAGCTCCAGACCCTGAAAGAAAAATAGAGTATTACATCTTGTTGAAAATCAAAGCTGAAAATGATCACCTGAAGAAGACCTCTGGTCAAAACGTTATTAAATAAATACTCTTTATGGCATTTAAGTTTTACCAAACATCAAGTGTATTTATAGAGCTGATCATCTTCTCATTGAGGATACTGAAAACCCAAATTTGAAGAATTCTAGGAGAGATGGAGATAATATATTTTGAAATTTATATTTGTGTGTGTAATAATAAGCTCTTCTCTGTTTACTTTTTTGAATGAACAAACATGTTTAATTTTTTCGTTTTATATTTATTCTGTAAAAAGCTTAAAGACATTGGAAGTTAACTTAATTTTGTATAAAAATTGGATTCCAAATAAAGTTGTAAAATAAATTGCTCTCCATCTTAATGAACACACACACACGCACACTGAAACAACCATTACCTTAATGTTGACTGTACAGTAACCGTATCCTCTCTCCAGGATCATTATCCAAACCATTCGGTCCTGAAAGCGGCCAAGAAAATGTGAGCCGGGGGCTATGGAACCTGAAGATGGTGGAAAAAAATCATCAGATGTGATCTGTCAATTGAGGGCAAGAAAAGAAGTTTGAAACACTATATATACATCATGTAACACACATCAGTGCGGGACCTTTTTCATTTTGCATCAGCTGTGTGTCCCTGTGCTGACAATGTGAATAACACAGCCTCTGTATGTTATGCAGGGAGACGTTCACCATCACAGTCATACAGGAAGATCATGATGTGGTTTTAACTGCCTGACTGCACAAAGATGTAAATATTGAATTTCTCTTGACCCCATCATTCCAATTTATCTCTAAAACCTTGTCTTTTAAGAAACTGTGGCCCGGGTTTTTTGATGATTACAACACAGATGGACAGCGACAGCAAGGTGATGGAGGCTTTTGTTTTAAGTTGGCTAGTGCTAGCTTGGCTCAAGATTAATGTCATGTCCCACAACGATGCCTCAGAATAGTCCCTGCCGCTATCTCATGATGGGAAGTGACACGCTGGGCAAACTGCTTTCCTGCTCACCGCTTTCCTAGTGTGAGTCGAGCAGAGCGATGCTACAAACTGCCATCATAAGACTGGGAGCATCAACCTTGCAAGCGCTTATTTGAATTATACATTACAACTAGAGAACAACAACAACAAAAAAATAAAACAAACAAAACAAAGATCAAGTGATGACATCACCTCAGTAGATGTGTACAGTTTTGAATCACCAATCCATAAATAATGATTCACCACTATAGCTTTTTTTCCCCCCCCCCCCCCGATCAAGTGCAGAACAAAAATCCTCGCAGTGGCTCCGTTAGGCCTAAGAGTATTACGCGGTTAATGGTGCGGAAACATTTGGATGTAATGAATACAGATCAGAGCAATTTTTTTTGGGTCACTTCACAGGAAGCTTAACTGGATCATACGAGCTCACATTACTGCCAGCGATTCTGAAGAGCTGCTCACAACAACGCTCCCCTTACAATTAAAGCATATGAGGGGACGGTTCAGTGCTCTTTGGTCTGCATACAGACACTACTTGACCTCTAGGAGAGTTCATGTGTCATGTGTACTTATGTGGCCTGAAAATTACCAGTATAAAACAACAAGGAGAGAAACTGTTTGTTTCCTAAGACAAACAATTTAAACAAATGGAGTGATAATTTAATATTCTAAATGTACAATTCATTTGACATTCAGACGTCAATTTAATAAATTACCATTACTATAAACATTGTAATTTTGATTTAAAGCTACAGTAGGCCACATTATTTCATTGTCATTTTTGTTCAAATCTAAATTTTTGATCGTCATATGTGACTAACAGTATTTAATTGAAGTATTCATTTAAATAAATGAGTGGCTGATCTGCATCTGTGAACTCCTGACCATATGTATTTAGGTTTCTTTCTTCTTTTTTGAATCATCCAATCTGAATCAAGACAACTAATCGGGGTTAGCTTGTATATAACGAGCCAAAAACTGGCTACAAACTTGTATCATCTGGCTTCCATGTGTCTCATGTCGTCAGATCTCTCTTCCTTAGTGGCTGTCTTCTTTTCTCCTCACCTCTGTGGTGCTGAGAACGCAATGGCTCTGCAGCAACCACCTGTTGTTACTTTTTACATTTCTGTTTAATGACCTCTTTGTTTATTGATTGGCTCAATGCCTTTATGTCCTCCAAGTTTGACACAACAGTTGAGTGTACAGTTACAGTGACAGCGGTTTCTTGCATGTTTTAGACAGAGTGATAGGAGGTTTTCCATTTAAATTGCTTACTGCAACTATTTTTGTTATTAATAAACAATACTAAACATTTGAAAGTTATTCATTCACTGTTCAAATAAGAACATTCTGATTTCCTTAAAAGTTAATACAGCTCTTTGCAACCTTTATGGTTGCAGCCTTGAATTGGAATGTGCTTTTATACTGACAATGAACATTTTAAGAGCTTACTCAGATATGCAGTTCTTATGAATGCTAAAATAAAAAGTAACCACTGTTAACTTGTGACATTTAAAAAAGTTTTTAAAAAGGAGAAAGAAAATGTTTCAAACTAAAAAATGTAATAGTTTATGTAGACTGTGTGTAGACTACTGACCCAGTGACCCTCTTGCAAATGCCATCCTCAGAGCCGAGGCCAGACTCCCGCTCATCTGCTGATAGAAGATTGAGTCCGGGCAGGGACAGGCGGTACCTACGGGACCTGGCCAACTGCGCTGAGGTCTGGGGAACCCAACCAGGAAGATGGGCAGGGTGAAGAGAGGAAGCAGAGGGGCAGAGAGCAGGGCAGAGAGGGCCACCACCGCCAGCAGCAGTGGGCACAGGGAGGCGTTCAGAGCCAAGAGAGTCCCAGCAGACTGACGACGCTGCTTCTTCTCTGTCCATGATGTCACCAACACAGTCAGGCTGAACTTTAGCTTCGCTAGGAACTGGGTCAGTCTGTCAAACAGGAGGCCCACCTGCAAACATGAAGAGCATTGATTTATCTAACCAGCTGATGTCTGTGTAAATTACAGTTGGTTAAAGTGATTGCATGTCTGATTCAATTTTTTACTTTATGGACTTACAGACCAGGTCAACTTCAAGTTGGCCATAATATGGCATATAGATTTCTCTGACATGTATTGCTTAGGTCAGGAGAGTACGTTTCCTATGCAATGTTAATATATCAGTGAGTAGTTCACAACTAGACTGTAAAAGATTAGGTACGATATGGAAACAATATTTGGGTTGTGTTTAAGCCTAACAGATATGATAAATAATCAAACAGATCTAATGGGGGGGAAAAATGAATCACCAGAAGAAGTTGGACTCCAGTGCCAAGGTGGTCCCACCCATGCAACATGTTATTTCCAGCTATAAGCCGCACCAAGATCACCACCACCATTTGCAGCAAAGCATCCTCTGAACTCTGCCACACCTGCACAGACACAAAGAGCAAACAGTGATGAGCACAACAGGACTGAAAATAAAATACTCTTGGGATATTTCCAAGTTAATTCAAACAAAAAAAGAAGACATGCTTTTGTTGTTGTTATAAAGGAGCAATGATATTTGCTGGTTACATTATTAATATGGCAAGAGTTACTTTAAACAAGTCTTCATTCATTGTAAAAATGACTCTCTAAATGTTATGTTCACTTTGATACTTAGATTTGAGATGAGAGTGAGTGCAAGCATACCACTCTAAATGCTCGAGTGAATCCCACACTGAGAGAAACCCTGTGGAGCAGCTGCAGAGATTTGTCCATAGACAGGAAAGCAATCATTGCAAATGGAGACACTGTAAAGAAAAACATTAAACAAAAGGTCCAAAAGTCATTCATGTCAGTGAAAGATGTTGAGAATGAAGAAGATCAGCGTAGAAACACACATAACAAGCTCACCAAGATAAAGAAGGACTCTTCTGATTGCCGCAGCAACATACAGCCCTCTGCTCCTCTGCTTGAAAGTCTGCACACTGGACATGCCTTTAGGGTACAAGGGATTGAGGAACACCCCTCCAAATACATAAGCCCCCTGGATCTCTCTCAGAACCCAACAGAGGCAGAAGAGTACGAGGAGGAGGTAGCTGACAGGAGCCTGGGGTCCTGTACCAAAGCTCTGGGACTGAACTGAGCCGAGGAAGTGATGCAACAGCCCTCCCTCTGCCACAGACACCAGTAGCAGGCTCAAATAGAGCAGCAGCTCCCTGCAGCCCAGTTTCCAGCCAAAGGAACAGGGAGGAGGAGGTGGTGACCCCCCTCTGCGAAATCCACGATCCCCAAAGGCAGCCCTGGGCCCTCTACAGAGAGTGCCAACCTGGCTGAGGTCCAGGCTCAGCAGAAATCCCATAGAGATGCAGAAGAGAACCACACCCAGAGTAGACGGGATGAAGTAATTACACACAGCTACGCCAGAGGATACACCAAACATCAACAGCAGCCTGTGGGACAAAGTGCACACAAAACGTCACAGGCTGCTGTCACACTTGTCATTTCAATAGAACTATCAGTATCTGATGAGGACTGGTTTCCTCATGACATGATCAGGATGTGGATAAATATAAACACTGCATCACTACTTTCAAATCTGATATTAAAGTTCTCAAGCTTAATATTTTGATTTGATTTTCATGTAGTCTTGATAATGTGGGTTAAAACTGTTCTTAATGTATATTTTATCTTTCAAACAAAACCTCAGAAGTCATGGTGACATGATGACCGTAAACTTAAGTGGTTACATGTTACTCAGTTAGGTGTTTTTTTTTACCGAAAAATAAGGATGATTTTTCTTTCAATATATAACTTGTCTAAATGTTTCACTTGCACAGGTATATTCAGTGTACTGCAGATATTAATTGAGAAATAAAAATCAACCCATGCATTCATTAGAACCACCCAGAAAATAATGAATGCTACACAGTATATAGTAGTATAAAATGATATAAGAGAGCTCAGTCAATATCAGTGTAACCCTTTTGGCGAAAGCTAAGTTTGAAGTACGTGTTTTAATAGTTACCTGAGGTTGCTGGACATGGGTGAGCCTCCTAAGCCGAACACAAGCGCTTGCTCCATTCCCCAGAGGAGCAGGGCATCCAGGGGAGGCAGTATACCAAGCGCCCACAGGAGAGGTAGAAAAAGAAACAGCACATGGAGAATCTGACTTGCCAGCTGGAGTTCAGGGACAGGGCCTGCAAACCTAAAACAGAGCAAGACACTAAGATGAATTACTACAGAAAGTAATTGAACTGACAGAATTGTTCTATATGACACTTTTATTAAATCAGCACACTGTGTTATTGTTACCAACCTTTCAGCCAGGTCCACACAAATGAAGATGAAAATGTAGAGGGGCCGTGTGAGTGGGGTGATCTCATAAGTGTCCTGTGCTTGGAAAGTAGCTGTTTCTGTGGCTGTATTTACAATGAGAGAGTACTCAGCTATACACAGAGTTACCCAACTCAGGACAAAGATGACCAAGGACACAGCAATGCTGTCATAGAGAGCTGTCAGTCTGCCAAGGAACACATACCATGTCCCAAAGCCACAGAGCACCCCTGCAAGTACCGTGTGCAGAACCACATTCAGCCCAAACCTCTTCCCAGGGGCAATGAATCGAACTGTCTCTGGGCTGACACAGTGAGTGAATTCCACTTCCTCTTCATCAACCAGGATGTTGGGGGCACCAAGTCTCTCCACTGTGCCACTCCTTCTGGCAGCATACAACGCCAGGGCCTGGACACCTGCTGCAGCCCCGAACATAAGCAAACCAGAGAGCACTGTGGCATGGAGCTCCTGAAGCAGCTGCAGCTGGCAGAGCAGAGTACCGATGCCCCCAAAAAGCCATGGTGTTAAGAACAAGATGGCCTGATTGACATAAACATAGGGCGGGGCACAGTAGCCCAACTTGAAGCGCGGACCCCCCAACACTGTCTGGGGGAAGCGCTTCCAGAAGAACTCCTGCTTGTACTCATTAAGAAGGGGCACATCTGGCCCCATTCTGACCATTCCCAAAGGACTGGCAGGTCATCTCCACACAGCTGATGGAGGGTGCCCATTCATCGTCCCATATACAGGGCAGCTGTCTGCAAGGATGCACAAAAGTACTGAGTTAATACCAAAACGACAATGCATTTCTAAATACAATCTACAACTGTTATTGTCAATTAACAGTTGTCCCAGTCTGAGCTTATTATTTAACATTAATTTTGCACGATTTGAATGAGTTTGGAATCACTGTGAAATTATACAAACTCAGGATGCAATCAAACTTATTTCATAACTTATACATGATACGAGTCCCAATGCATGCACGGGTTAAACTGAATGAAAACTAATTGATAAGATTACAACTATTCATGTGCTAATCTTTATTTAGACATGAATAATACCAACCTCAGGATAGGAATATATGAAACCTCTGACCTCCTCTTATATTAATCAATCTTATTGCAATACATTGTCAGGGCATCCTCGGTGAGTTAACTGTTAACACATTTTACAAAACATCTCGATCAAAAGGGATATTTAAAATTGCACTGACATCACAGATATCCTAACAACAGTAAACTGAGTTGCCATGAAAACACATCACAGAAGCTGTAACATTAGCCAGATGCCCTATCGTGGGCTGACCAGTCTAAGCATGTAATTTACAGACAAAAAAATATACAGAATAAAACAACGTGACTAAAACTGGATTGTTTTCTGCACCTCTCAAAGACCGTCATTTACCTCAGCTAGTTAATGTTATTGTTAGCTAGCGGTGGCAGCAAGTCTTTTCAGCTTGCCTATCCGTTAGCTTGCTATTACTGACAGGTATATAAATGCAGAATGGCAGTGTGGAAAATAAAAACTCACCGTAGACAGCAGGATAGCAAAGTGTAGATATGCTTCGAGAAATACTTGGCGATATAGGCAGTATTATAGGGGGAAATAGGCAGAAATCGCCAGCGTTTACATTAGCTGCGAGCTAACGACTTGAAAACCAAGCAGAATCAGTATGATACACAGGCAGATTGTAACCAATAGGAATGTAGACAATAGATGAGCGCGTACCCTGATTGGCTGGAAACGTATAATCCCGCCCATTACACACCATAACCCGCCCCTCCGAAAGCAACAGAGACGCACACAGACACGAACACAAACACATTTTGTAAGACAAAAGTATATATAAAAAAACAGGGTTTTTGTGTGTCTTTTGGCTGAAAGCATAAGGGCAAATTCTTGTCGGACTATTTCTGTAGTTTATAGCTGACCTAGATGAGATCATCCTTTATTTATAATCCGAGTGGAAATTCAGGTGCTGCAGCAACAGAAAAACAAACATAGCATATTAAAAATAACAATAACATTAAAATACAAATATAATGTTAAATACATAATTTTGCAGAAAAGGCTGTTTATGTTATGAAATTTTGCCACCAACATATTGACTTCCACAAAGCTTTCCAGCAGCTAAAGATAATGGGTTATCGGTTATAATCCACAAGTGTATTAGTGATCTTGGCGTAAATTGTAACAGCCTACCATTACATTATTTAAGCAGGTCGGACACTGATGGCCTAGCGGTTGGGTCGGAGGCTATAGTCCTCAAAGGTGAGCGGTTCAAGTCCGATCTGTGGCTCTAACTCTGCATGTTTCTCTCTCTATAAAGACAGTCCAATTGTACGCTTTCTAATTAAGTCAAATGGCATGATCCAGGGATTGTTTACCCTTCTTTTCCTTACATTTTTTTTCATCCTCTCTCTTGCCTGCATCTTTAAATCCTGAATATAATGCGCTTAGTCAACCCCAAAAACTGACATAGGATTAGGAATATTAATATTTCATTCAAAATCCTTGTTGTTCATACATAAAAGAGAAAATCCTAGAGGTATTTTATTATTTCAACATAATGAGAGTGATTGTGTTCAAGTGTCTTCCTCTCCAAAATGTTGATTTATGGTGAATTTAGGAGGGCAAAAAGGAGGATGAACTAAAGTGATCAACTAAAAAGGCTGCAATATAAACACAAATAAAGACAATAATCTGGAGCCAAGGAGATTAAATTGTTGTTGTTGTGATTCTTCAACAGGGTTTGTATTTCCTCATCATCTTGAAAAAGCAATTTCTACTTTGTACAGAGCAGAATAAAGCACAACAATAGAAGAGCCCATCAGTCATGACAACATGTATTGCACCCTCTAATCTTTCCAATAGCACCATTTATTTAAAACCATTTCGTCATTTCTGGTGTGGCCACTGGTTGAAGCATATCAGCTTGAATTAAGATTTAAGAGTCATTAAAGCAGTAACACAAATGCAAATGGCAGATACCAAATTGGCTTCAATCTGCCAACAGCAGACAATCTGACGATTCTATGAAAATTGATTCATGCTGCATTTACAAAATTGGGTATTTGTCTGTTGTTTTGTTATTTGTGCCTTGTTTTTGCCATTTTAAACATGCACCATGCTTTGTTTGATTGAACTAATATGAGAAATGACGCACGGGTTCAATAATGTGAAAAATCACATTCAAGACCAGAAATAAATAGCAGTTAAAATGTAATGTTTTCAGCGAGGTGTGCTCTCATTCAAAATGTCTGTACAAAATAAAAGCATTTACCTATTCACTCTAATTGTCACTCTCAGAACATTCTTTCATCTGTGTTTTCCTATTCCCTTTTTAATCCTGGGAGCCTCAAAGGAAACAATTTAAAGGAAAATGACAGGCGACAACAATAACTGGATGACAGATTTCGAGAGAAGCAATATGCCAAGATTGTTTTTCAAGAGGATGTATTTGTGGGGATGAAAAACAAACTCAAAACATAATATGCCCCTTTTAAAAACAAGATAATTTATGTTTCAGTGAGGACCTGCAATTTGTTTGCCAACAGCAGCTAGATGTGGAGAGAACATTTCAGTTTTTCAGGAGCAGTTCCAAGTCAAGTGTTGATGTGTATGTAATTGTAACCTCTTCTGAAGCACTTCTAAAGTTAATACAGCCTGGTAAATGTATAATGCATGTGGAGTTTAATATTGTTCATCCATTACACATACTGCTTTCATAAGCACTGCACAACATGCAGCGTTATCTTCAACATCAAACATCAATCAATGTCCCCATCGCTCTCACTTCACACACAGCAACCGACACTAGAACCTACGTGGACAGCAGAGAAAACATGGTCCATTCAGCAATTATTCACAGAGTCTTGGACTAATGGTGCTCTGAATGCACAGACACAGCAAATGTAGGGAGTTAGTGGACCAGCAGTAATGGCCCCATGCAGAGCATGTGTTTTCCTGTGTGTCTATGTGTGTGTGTGTGTGTGTGTGTGTGTGTGTGTGTGTTGTAGGGGATGGGGCAAAGAATATCATCTATAACTGATTCACAACAAGCAAAAAACATGTCTAATTATGAATCCAGGCTACATCTAAAGAAACCAACTCACTTTGCCTCTCCTCTCTCTTGTTCTATCCCTCCTGCCCGAGTGGGGCTCCATATCAGGATGATGAAAACACAACCTGTCACATTCCATCCCATTAAACCAGCTAAGAACCATGTGGTCTGCTCACATGGAGAAGCAAGACGTGGGAGAGATAGGCAGAGATAGTGGTGCATCTGGGTTCACTCAGAACTGATGAATTATTCACAATCTTTATGCTGATGTCATTTAAATGTTAAAAATACTGGCATATATGCAAAGAGAAGCATATTGTGTGAAATGCAAGGCTGGCTAAAAGGTTACACTACACATAAATACAACTGCAATAAAAAAAGTTACAGTAACTGTACACACATATAAAATGTGTAATTATCCTTTGCAATATCTAATGCATTAGAGAGCTCTCACTGAGCCCCCAAATCTGTGCATTAGAGGGTTTTTTATGTGAGTCCATCAGCTGCCTGTTGATGTCAGGCAGAGCAAGGTAATGACAGTGCACTCACTTGCACGGTCATTAGCCCCGCTTAATGCTGGGAATTAACACAAATTAAGTGAAGTTAAGTACATGCATTAGAGGAGCTTGTTTGGGGAGAGCTTTTAACTTTTGCTGCCTGGATCTGGATGCTGCCTCACATGTTCAGCTCAGGCTACACAAGCCAGGGACACTGAACAATAGTATACACATGCATGTATACAACTTCAGAATTACTATCTAAAGGGCATGTGGTAAATTCATTGAGGATTGGTTTTGCAGCATGTAAAGGTAGAGCTAATGGAACTCTAAGGACACCTAGTGGTCATGACAATGCCACTGATCAATAGAGTTCAACATCAGGTTGAAGGAATAAACACAACAGAAAATGTTGCTACTTAAAGAAATATTATTTGGAAGGAATTTCATTGAGAAAAAGAAAACTTTTTGCTGATGTGTACAGTCTTACAAAACTGGGTCCCAATTTATTTGTGTATGTTGTGTCATTTATTATGGAGAATGTAATATAAGAGAAGTATACGTCTAATCTTAAAATGAAAAATTACAATACAAATGTAAATATTTATGGATGTACATTTCCTATCTTAACTTGTTCACATGAAGTTTTTTATTGTATAGTAACCAGTTTTAAGTCCTAGAATGAAAACGCTCTGAATCGCATTATACAGGATATCTCCTCCATATTTAAGGCTCAGATTTATGTTTTTATTAACTACAGAACTACTATTTTAAACTGAAAGGAAGACACAGAGGATTATAATCTCATGCTGAGCAGAACTCAGATCATAAATATCAAGTGGAGTAGGTTCATTTCCAGTTACAACACACCAGATCTGCCTATTAGTCAAAAACTGTGCTGGGCTTTTGGAAAAGAGGCTAACATGATGAAACTGACAATCTCTGAAATCCATTTGGACCTCGTTCAGGATTATATCTTTATCTGAGCGACTGCAGATTATTGTCCACAGAGAGGTGTGCTAAAGCTGGATTATCCACTTGTTGGGGATGCATTTGACCCAGTGGATGCAGCATGCCACCCTTACACGCCGTTACATCTGTGAGTGTTTTTTCCACTTGTTTGTGGCCAAGGATGGAATGGCTGTAGGAAATGACACCAAAACCTCTCATCCTCAGATTACCATAGTTAGTGATCCATGTATGTGGATAGAAAACAAGGTCAAAGTCATTATGTAAGCATTTGAAAGGGATGCATTACAATCAACCTAATTTTCTCTATCCCCAAATATTTTTTTTATTTTAAAAAATGTATGTAAGAGATTTGTGGCATGTAACAGCAAAGGAAATGTTTCAAGTTTACAGAGAGTCCTCAATAACCCATGCTCATATACATAAAGATACACTCACAAAAACACCATCATCAATGTATAAAGTGGTATAATTCTATAGAATATAACACAGTGATGGCTGTTGTGTGTGTTAACCTCTTGATTGTGTAATGATTGTCCAGTACTTTTCACTTTGATGTTGAGGGCTCCACTGCTTCTGGATGCTACAGTGGAGGATATTTGCCACCATTTGGAAATCTTAAAGATATAAAGTAAAAGCAAACAGTTAAAATTAATCATATTAGCTTTAAATGGATCGTTCATATTATAAAAGAAACATAGCTAGACCTGTAGATGGTTTTGGATCTACTCACCTGCTGTCTTGCTCTAGGTTGGGATACATGATCATGACTCTGTTCCCATCAGGAAGGAGAGTTGTTGTCGGCAGGTTGCTTCCTGTTCTCCGACCGTGTCTGAAATTAATGTCAGTTTGGATGCTGCGAGGAGCGTTCACATTCTTGTTCCGCTTGTCTGAATTGAGAATTAATACAAGGGTGTGGGTGAGAGAGCCAGAATGAAGAGGGTCAACTTCAGCTGTGTGTGTGTGTGTGTGTGTGTGTGTGTGTGTGTGTGTGTGTGTGTATATATATACACACACACACACACACACACACACATATATATATACATACATATACATATATATATATATATATATATATATATATATATATACACACATATATAGATATATATATATATATATATATATACAAATCGTATGCAGGAAAAAAACGTCTATATGAAGCTTATTGTAATGGATTATATTTAAGAAGAGACTCCTGATCTCCATAAGGAAAAAAAAAGTCACACTCACTTGTGTATGGGTAATGAAATTGAGATTCCTCCACATTAGTTGGTAAGATATCGTGCCTGTGCATAGAGATCTGTTGTGCCCCACTTATACCCACTGCTCTGAGAGGGGGTTCCGAGGTATAAGAGGTCGCAGTTCAGGCAGGTTGATCTCAGTTGTGGGAAGAGAAGCTCCAGGGCATTGGGAACATGACTTTCAGAGAAATATTAAATAGGTAACTTTTGTGGGCTTGATTACGCTGAAAACCAAAAGCAGAAACTCATATGTTGTCTACAAATGTACAACATATATAATCCACATATACGTATATACAGTATGCATCTTATAGGGAAATGCAATTATCACTCATCAATAACAATGTTCATATTCAAGAAAGAAGTCAAAGGCATAAATTAAGAGTGACAAATGAGCAGTGATGAGGTTTGTGCTTTTCTTAGTCTTAATGAGAAAACCCAGGATCTCTGCTCAGTCGTTTCCATGATTAACAAGCAGAGGGGGTCGTGTTGACTAGGCTAATAGGGGGTAAATCCACTGGTGCATTATCGGCTGGGCACATTTCATCTAATCAGCAGGATGATGCCAGCAAGCTTAGGCTGCTTTTAATTCAGAGCTGCAGGAGAATTACTGCCCTGGTCTCTTGTTACATGAACATCAATTCAGTCGGACTAAAATACTTTGATCCAGGATTTTCCCCCTTATTTCATGGCAGTGGTGTGGTTGTTGGCATTTTATTTATTTCTGTTGCTTTCTATCTTACATGATAAGGCCCATTATGAGGTTTTAGACAAACAAGGTTTTAGTTCATTTGTGGTTCTGCTGTACGCAGGAATACAAAGAGAGTAGGAGCATCTTTTAAATAGCCTTATTCATGTCCCTAAAACATGTTATGAGGAACACTTGCAGAGGCCTCTCTCTACACCAGGAAAAAAATGTATTGGGGATACATATAGAAGTCTTAAATTATTCTTTTTTGTTGTTGTTGAGGAATTTAATTGTTCCAAAAGTCTTAAAATACTGGAAACATCTTATAAGGACCCAACAATGATAAGGCTTTAATCATGGTATTTTTCCACTCACTGATTGCTCAGCACTTAAGAGTTCAGCCCGTGTTCTTTCCTCCAAGGTGACCATCACACCATCCAGTACCCGCAGAGAAGACAGACGAAGCACCACAGCTGGTCTGTGGAGAGAATTTCTGGCCACCTGGAAGAGGGAAAAAAAAAGCCACCTGTTTGTAACAAAAACCCAGCAATAAATGATGCTGATCAGAAGTAGTTTTCAGCATTATTAACATGAAGCCTGAATGATATCTGGAATAACTATGCTGCTGTGTGAATCCCTACAAAGTTAGCATGTTCTCAACAGCGATTCCAGAGACCCAGGTGACAGCATCAGAGACCACCTCACCCAGCTGAGGGGACCCCTCTGGCCTGGATAGAAATTGAGCCAGTTCATTCATAGAACATTACGTTCCTTAAGGACACTGCTGCTGTTTTGAATTTGTGAGTGCATGCCAGTGGATGCCCAGTGGAAAAGAGGAGACCGACTCATGCCAGGGAACATGGGTGAGGTCGGGATTTCATGCTGTCAACAGCAGGAGGTATTGTCTCCGGGGTAGCTGTTGGCCTCTACTCCCTGGCAAGATTAACTCCTCCTATGGGAAAAGAAGGGGGATGGGGTCGAGGACTATCGAGACTTCCACAGCTGAGCAGAGCCCAGCAGACGATAGAGTGGCCATGGGCTGCATCGGGGCCTGATCCATGAGCTTCAGATGGGTGATGTAACTGGGCCAATAGGGCCCTGCCATTTGGTCAACGGATTTGTCTCTGATGCCGGCCAGTTTGAGGCACAGCAGATGGGCCATCATGTAATCGCTTAATTTGGAACCTCAGTGTTACATTGGGATAGTGGTCTGGGTGGTGCAAGGGAGAAATTGAGCCTGTGAGCGTACTTTTGATGATTTGTTTTCGAGTGAAAGAGTTCAAAGTGTCCTGTGGTTGACAGCTAATATGTTTGCATCACTGGTTGACGATTAAACAAACCTTTAAAAAAATAAATCCAAGTTGTGTTCGATGCACAAACACTTGTGATACTCACGGGATTGCCAACAACAGAGAGCTCCGACAGCGAAGGAAGAACATCTAGTTTTTCAAGCTCTGTGATGTCCTTAGAAACAGAAGTAAAGAAACAAAGAAGATTTTGTCTTTAATATAATTATTGTCCACTATCCATTCATTTAACTTTTCTTTCATACTGGGAGTAGCCTGCTGTGTGTTGATAATGGAGACATATGCATCCGGCCTGACCCCCATAATTTTGGTGTTGGGAGGATGGAAGCAGCTGATGGGAGAGATTACATGTGTGAGCTCATATTAATCTCATGGGAGAGTTTGGGCACGCAACAGGGCATTGGAAGTGTTTTACAGTCATTCACAGGTTTATGGCTGTATTTGGCTGTAATTCAAAGACCCCCCCCACTGTGAGAACTGCTGCGCTGGCTTGATTGCTGTATTTATGTCTTAATTATATGCATGAAAACATTAAGGAAGTGAAGGGAAGAAGAAACTGGCAACAAAAGTGCAAATCACTTGCCCTTGGTGAGAAAGGTACGCAGGCTGAGAAGCTGATTACACATTTCCTGATTGTTCATGTCTGTCTTCATACACACGGCCCTGACCTTCAATCAAACTTGATTCTCCTCAATGCTGCCCTTAACATACCACAGCTGGGGGGGTAATGACTCATGATTACTATACTTCATGTCTTACTTTGCAAATGTAGGGAAAAGTAATAATCCAGTATGCTGAATAAAATACATTCTTCAACATCTGACAAATTTTACATAAGAACCAATCAGTATGTTGGTAGATCAAAAAAAAACTACACAAAGGCTCACTGTGACCTTGGTGGTCACCTCAGGAAATGTCTCTGTTGAGTTATTATGGCAGCCTAATTGGAATCCGAAAATGTAGTTTAAATGAAAATCTGAATATAAACGTGAAAAAAAATCTGCAGGTGAAGAAATGTCTGCTTCTTGAGCATACCTGCAGCTTGTTCATGCCAAGATCAAGCTTGCGGAGCTCAGTTAAAGGATGCAGATGGTTAAGCTCCCGGATTCGGTTCTCTGCTAGGTGCAGTTCAAGCAGGACGCTCTGCGCATTGAAAGAGTTTTCAGCCAGAGCTTTGATGCGATTCCTGTCCAACACAAGCTCTCTGAGCAGGTGATTCCCCTCCAATCCTTCCACCTGGCTGATCTCATTATCTAAGGAAAGAGAAATCTGAATCAAAACAATGTAAAGAAATCTCAAACAATAGTCTAATACAACTATAAGCAAATAACTGTATATATCTTACACCAAACAGCATTCAGGGAAGTATTTTCAGGCAATGTTGTTTTTTTGGTGGATATTTATTGTCTGCCTCGGGTGTAAAAGGCACTGAAATTACAGAGGCATCTTCGAAAGGATTCCAAGCAAAAAAAAAGGGAGAAAGGACAAGTAATGTCGCCTTTGTGGGACAAATAGCCCTGAAAAAGCAAAACTCAATCAGAAGCCATCAACAGCGATTGAAAAGAAAGTCAGGGTTCTTTTCTTCCAGTCTCATCTCCCACCTGGCCTTAGGTCTATGGGAGACTTGGTTCTCAGTGTTTGCCTTTTCACAGACTCTTTACACGGATCACACTTTGTTAGATCGGGGTTGTACGCCAACCATACATACCTTGGAGAAAGAGTGCTTTAAGATTGGTGAGCCTGCTGAGCTGCAGATTGGCCATATTGGAGATGCCATTGTGACTCAAATGCAGCACTTCCAGGCTGCCCATCAGAGGATCCAGACTGCCAGTAGGCCCAGTTTCCCTTAAACACAATCACAGAATGGCAGTCTGTGGTTAAATGAACATCTCTTTTGTTGCTCCTGCTGTCTCTTTTAACTTCACAGGTGCAGACCACCCAAAGGCAATCACACATATGCCTGTCACAGCACTGCTCATATACTGGTTACCACCAAAGGAAAGTACAAATGTTAGATCATATCATTATTCCTAATATATGCTGACAATGTAGAAACTAGAAATATACTACAAAGATCTAAATACATTTATTAGGCGTTACATCTCTAGAAAGAGTGAACATATCTGAATAAATGATTACATAAACTAATTTCTATCAATAACATCATGTACTTAAGGATTTTATAAGGGTTTATATGTGCCTATTATAAAGAGTTAGTTTTTAGAGCAAGAAGCAGGTTCCTCATTGGCTGGTCAGTGCTGCCCCCTTATGGTGACAGTCTACAATTTCATCTCAGGTTAAACATCATGCACATCTAACTTTAAAACAGTGGAAAAACGTGAATCATTCAAATAAAACTCTGTTACACTTTGCCTTTGGATGGGCTCTGTTGGCCATATCCACTGGAGTGAACTTTGCTGTGGAGTATCTGTCTGTTTGTCAGATGGGCCTGGGTCTTTTGTCTGGGGAAGATGGACTCAATGTGGTTGTAGTTCAGACACAAAGCCTGTAAAGAAATATTGTATTGCTCACAACTCAGTTGCACGAAAATCTCGCATTTGAATATCTGACCTCAAGAGTTCTTTTTACTTTGATGTTGGGCAGGTAGATGAGGCCTGAGAAAGAGGTAAGGTTGTTGTGGTCTAAGTTGACACTGCGTACATTACAGAACAGGTCTGCTGGAGTCAGATCCACCATCCTGTGAGGGGTTAATAATGTTTGATTAATAAATATTTTTAAACACAGTAAACCAATATGTTAATGTTCATGCATTACTGGGTGCATGTTGAGTTTATCTATCTGTATAACCTGGCTGTTACCGTATAGAGCAGGACTGCAGGGTAAGGTAGGTTATGTCTTTGTAGTTTGAGTGGCCCAACTTCTCTGCTAGCATGTCAGGTGTTAGTCTTCCTCCAAACATGTCCTTTGCATTTTCACACTCAGTTACCTCCTTGAAAAAACAACAACAACAACAACAAACTGTATGTTATTATGCCACACGAACACAATATCTGAGAGGTTTAACTGGTGTGCTTTTGTCAGTACATACGACAGCAATGCCATCCAGAGCTCTGAGGGAGGGTAGGTGGAACACAACATAAATGCGATAGTTTTCCAGTCGCTCCAATAAAGGATTTCCATAAAGATCTAGGATGATGAGATTTGACAATCCCTGAAAATAAATTGGAGCGTGTAAGTACAGAAAACACAGTGAAAATTATAGGAAAGTCTGACACTTTCTGTCCTTATTTTCCTCCCATTTGCCTTTAAAAAGTAGATGTCCTGTGACGTTGAAATTCGGTTGTTGCCAATGTAGAGCTCAAGAAGCGAGCGAACTCTCTGTATGCCATGCAGAGAACTGATGGTGTTGTTCTCCACAGACAGAAAGGACAGGTTGGGAAGCTGATCCAGAGTGGAGGCATCCAGGATAGACAGCTGATTCCCATCTAGACTCAGTTTATTGAGGCAACGCAGTTTGGAAAGACCTAAAGAAAAAGGGACAAAGAGGTTATGAGGAAGCTATTTTTTATTTTAAGTTTATCTTTTTATTTCACAACTTCGGTGTCAAAGTAAAAGTTTGTCTAACCAGTGAGTGTGCTGATGTTGTTGTTGTTGAGGGAAAGCTCCTCCAGCTTCAAACAACTCTCAAGACCCTCCACTCTGGAAATGTCATTATCATTAAAGGAGGCCCAGCGCAGGTTGACCAGCTTATTCAGACTGATCAGTTTGGAAATCCTCTGGCTGTCAAGGTTCAGGGCAGTGATCTGCTCAAATGTATGGGCCACAAACACATGAATCAAGTACCGTATGATTAAATGCAGATATTAAACAGTGTATAGCTATTAACTTTAAAAAAAAAAAAAAACCTTAAACATTAAAAAATAAAAAACCTTAAACATAACTGCTTGGCAGAGAAACATGCATGCTTGTGGCTTACATTTGCAGTCCAGTCAGGCTCCAGCTCTGTGTTAATGCTCCATTGTGCAGGACTGAGTTGACATAGGAGCTGAGCTGTTGACAGCAGGCTGAGACTGCGAGGCCGTTCATCATTAGTACGTGAGTGAACCAGAAGGGATGCCTGCAACAGAGTTTTAACAGGTCTGAATAAATTACAGTCCATGAGGAAATATACCGGTATACTATTAGGAACCTTTTTATTAAAGTTATATTTTTGACTCTATTGGAGAGGAGAGCTGAAGAGAGACCGAAAATGTTGGGAGGAGAGAGTGAGGGATGACATGAAGTAAAGGTATGAGGTTGGAATTGAACCCGAGGCCACTGTGATGACAGCTAAAGCCTCTACATGGGACGCGTGACATAACCTCGGCTTTCATACGTCCCACCAGTATTTCGCATGAGACACAAAAGCATAACCTCAATAATTCCTAAAGTCTCCAGACACACCGACAGGATCTATGTTAACTAACGTTCTGTGTGCTCACTGCTCAGAATGAAATAAAGGTAGGCTCAAAATATGTATTTATTTGTTTCATTTGTATAACAATTATTGTGAGTGTGTGTGCTTCCATGTTTGTTTCTGTTTGTATTAGACAACATTCGCAGTGGACTGAGTATCTGGATGAGAATATGATGTTAGTAGATGTCCTCCAGTCCCATAAAAAATCTATTTAAATGTGTTAGCAAATGCACTTATATTAAAATGTGGAATAGGTGCGCTGTTGTGCATCCTGTGTGTGTGGAACAAGCTCAGTGGAAGTGCGTAGTGAACTCAGTGTATGCCCATCTTTCTAATCAGCCTCTGAAAAGCAGGGACAACACTGAGCCACGGACTTGAGATCAAGTTTTAGGTGGTCTAGGGCTAAGTCATTTTTTGCATCCTCAAGATAGGAATGCCCCCCTTTGTGCCTGACCATGCCTCATTTTAAGACAAGTTCACCCCTGGGTGCCAACAAGTTGCTATCTAATCAATGAGAGCACTAGACATAAAAAGGGCAACAACAACAGTAAAGACACCTGCACTGCGTGTCAAGACACTGAAGTAGCACCCAAAGTGCTGAAACACTAAGGAGAGTAATCTTGGTATATAGATCAAGAAATAGGCAGTGGACTGACATTGGGTTTTTTTTTCAATTGAATGTAAAATGTTTTCAATAATTGTAGTTATTTGATCTATGTATTGATTTAGTCACACTGTACAGCAACCTACAGTATCTGTAAGAGCTTGACCTGGTTCATTTTGGATCCAGCAGCCATGTGAACAGCCTCAGCAGCCTCCTCCTCTGTCACCAGCACATTGTCCAGGTGTGTGAGGGTCGTCAGACGGCCCAGTACAGTCTTCCTTACTGCTTCAGGCTGAAGAAAAGAAAACAACGTGACTGTATGTCTTTCCATGTGCATTTTACAAAAACTTTTTGAGCAGATAGGAGGCCACACCTTGTTCCAGGGATTATACCGGGTGTCAAGCCTCAGTAGAGCTGGTGTGTGTTTTCTGAGCACAGCTGTATCCTCTCTGGCTTTGGTCAACTTGTTCCAGCGCACATCAAGTTGTTTAAGCTGCCCCAACCCCCTCAGCCCCTCTAAGGTTGCCAGGCGGTTATAGCTGGTGTCCAGAAACTCAAGGTTGGGCTGAGATTTAGATGACAGCAACAATAGATGTTAAACTTTTTCCCTCCATTGATTCCATTACATTATGACGAAGACTTTACAAATTAAAATGAAACTTTCTTCTGACTTTAGACAAACTGTAAAGTTCAAGCTCAATAACAATCTTTTCAAGCATCAGTTTTACCATGTGAGAAATGTCGTCCAGATGTGTCAACTCATTGAAGCTGATGGTGAGATGCCGCAGAGCTGTGAGATGGGAAATCGCCTTAATTTTACTAAGACTGTTTCCATGAAGGTTCAGCACCTGCCGATTAATACAACAACAAAAAAGGTATTTTGTGAGTGTTTGAAATTTGCTATAGAATAATATGCCATTTGACAAGCTATAATACTTACAGTGATCTGACTGAGGACATTGGCTCTGGCCACATTAAGCAAAACTTTGTCATCCAAACTCAACAGCTTTGGCTGAGGCTTTAACACGGGCTCCATGCTATGGACTTCTTTGTCCAGGATGATATCATTTGAAGGAGTATTATTTGTGCCTGTACCATTGCCTGGCAGTGCAGGACGTTCTCCATCCTAGTAACAACATATTAGAAGTTATCAGCTTGGTACATACAGTAACTATCTACTAATAGTAGGCAGGTTAGGTTGCCTTGCGGCCAAAGTTGTTAATAGATTGTTCAAATACAATCAAAATAAAATCAAAACAAACTTAAAGAGAGAGGACAACAAATCAGATTTTGTCTTTAAAAAAAGAGTCCGATTTAATTCACATATTTAGAATTAGGCCGTATATAGAAAGTTCATTTGCAAAGAACATTCACAACAGTAAAAGCAATTATTTACGTACCCCAGTGGTGTATTCAAAATAAATGATGTACTCCGGCAGGATGAGCTCATGGTCAAACACAAACCACTGTCTTTGTCGGGGACTGCAGTCAGGACCAGCGTGTGTTTTTGAGGAAAGAGGGCTGTCTGAACAAAAAAAAAAAAGGAAAAAGATAAAAATAACATTGTTCAAGAACTGACTTAAAAATATCTTCTTTCACCTGGTAACACACTGCTTACCTTCACTCAAAGCAATTCTGTGCTTAGGGTCCACATTGCGATAAACAGAGTACGCTCTGGGATAGCTGTTTCTGTCTACTGGTTCTCCCTCCCTGAAAGGCGTGCTGTAGCCCACAAACACTTTGGAAACAATAATCTTACCTTAGTGGGAAAAAAACAAAAGCATCAAGCTTCACCAGTTGTCACAATGTAGGCTAATATAAAGACATGATGGTAACAATGATCACATGTAACTCACCATGCCTAAAGGGGATCATATCTGTACTGTGCTTGGGCTCGCCTTGGCTGGCCTGACTCAGTGTGTGTTGGATTCTGGGCTGTTCAGTCACAATCAGGCTGTTGGATAAAGGTATAGCACCCTCTGTCTCCAAGGACTAGATTAGAGTCAACATGGTAAAAGTTAGCATGATCTAACTTTGAATCCAACCAAATCAGTGTCTACAACTCACTATTACAAGTGCTTCAATGGTACAACTTGTGACTGTAACATGTGCCGGTATGTGTATTACAGTGTATGTATCTGTAAGGGAATTATTTCTGTTTGTCACAGTGTGTCACATATACAGGTACAAAAAGGATAACCAAATAATCCTTATCTTACTACTAGCTTTGGTTTTTCTCCCCATGCCCAGTGGAATCAATTCTTGGTGAGTGGACTGACTGTTGTGGAATAAAGGTCTTAACAATAATACAAAGGTGCACACCTTATTGTGTTTGGATGCTTTGAAGCCTTCCTCGAGAATGTGCAAAATGTCGTCCTTTTCATTATTTCCTTCAGGATCAGCTGCGTAGAACAAGTGCTCCAGCCGACGTCTGTAATTCCTTCTTGAACAGTTTAGATTCAACAGAATAGACTTCCCTGTTACTTACAATTGTAAATGTTAACACTTCTGTTAATGATTTCTTAAAACACAATGGTTGTTGTTCGTCATTACAATCTAGTTTAGCTTACTGTGAAAAGTTAGTCGACTCTTTGCTTGTTAGTAGGTTGTGAAATTTGTCCTCAATGCGAAGCCTCAGAGCGCTATTGTGGATGCGTATAACTTTATCGATCTTAAGACCAGTGATGCCATGAACCTTGAAGTCTGAAAGAGAGAAGCGCGAAAGCAGGAGGTCGCAACATGAAGTAAACCTGTTTGGAACACAAAAGAAGAAACTACAAGTTAAAGCTGTGTTTGATATATTCTCTGCAGCTGTCAAATTTACGATGGTTGTATTTTTCATTTTATGAGTCACAGTATGTACCAAGGGTCTGTGGCGCAGCCCTCCTCCAAACGAATATTTCCAACACTTTCTAGCTCCATCAACAGAAACTTCACAGTATATTCCATCATGTTTCTGACTTGGGAAATATCTCGCTGGAACCGGGCCTCGATCCTGAGAAGAGGAAAAGTAACATGCTTGATTGTAGTGGAAGAATAACTTCATAAAAGATAAAAAAAAAAAAAAATGTTCCATCTGTAATGTCTTCAAATATACTGACTCATCTATTCTCCTCGTCCATATCAACAGTCTCTCTCTCAGCGCTTCAATCTTGCTCAATATTTTGCGCTCCATAGTAGGATCATGACTGATGTCGGTGGGTGTGTCACGTCTGTCACCTGGACCTTCAGCTGGTTGTGATGATGTGTCCTCCAACATGCAGGCAGACTTCTTACAACCAGTCGGCAATTTGGAGAGCTCCTTTTCAAGCTAGGTGGGATTCAAAATGTCAATTTAACCTTGTCCAATAACAAACATATGAATGATCATAAACTCTTGTTACTGTTAATCATTTTTTAGAAAGTTTCAAGGACTGTACACATACATTCTTTAGGGTGTGGTTGATTGTTCTGATGCATTCTTCCGGTAACTGTAACATATTTCTCTTCCTCTCCTTTAAACTGAGCCTGGTCTCTGCCAGGTTCCTCTGAGCAGTACGAACGCGCATGTTGTAGTACATCATTTTCTTCATTACTGTGGACTACAAACAAAAAAACGTCACTGGTGCACTGAAACAAATCGCTTCATAATTTCTCAATTATTTATTTTATAATATTGTATACTATCTCTCAAGCAAGCTAAGAATATTCTAAGAGAAATATCTATAAGAACTTAGCAAAACATTGGAAGACAACACAAATCATGAGAATTTGTCTCCTCTTAAGTGCTAAACAGATCCTAGATGTGCTCAGTTAGTGTAACACGTGGTTTCTGATGGTCTCCTCCTCACTACCTCAGCTGCTTCCTTGACTTGCTTGCTCGAAACGTCGTAGGTGTCAAGTCGCTGGAGGCCTGGCATGTGGTATAGAACATGTGTGGCATAGTTACACAGCAGACACACTGGGTTTGGGGTGGACGTGGGGTCTTTCAGTGCCAGTTCTTTCATATGGGGTAAGTGGGCGATCATGGTCAGCTCCTGGTAGAACAGAGCACACATGGCTAATTCATTGAAGTGGTTTTACTTCATTCTATTGGCTTAAGTTGTATCACAAAAGTACTTCTGTCTCCCAAGAATTAAACAAGCCTTTATATCAGTTTTGACAGACATCCAGATCCTTCTTCTGCCTTGATGATTAAACTGTGTTTTTTTTTTTTTTTTAAACTATCTAATTTATTTCTTTATCTATCCATAAGAAGCAGGAGGAATAATTAGATAAGCACTTAAAGCTTTGTTTTTCAGCCATGTATGACTTAATGAAAAGATATTGTGATACAATAATATATTGTATTCTATTATATATATATTTTTTAGATGTATTAAGGTAATATAACAAACTTTCTGCTCATGTCATGCTGACTGCATATGATAAGGACGTTTAAACATTGGATGGATGCCATCAAAGGCAGAATACACTTTTTGGTGGCAAAAGGTTTACTGCACAAATATGATCTCTGGTGCTAATCCAATCAATATTGAAGACACAGCACGTTTTTGTGTATTGTTCATAATGACCTTGGACTAAATATGACTTGGATTAAATACTCTGAATGAGTGTCTCAGCTACAGTCTACATCTTGTATGACTGACTAACACAGAGGAAGCCTTTTTTGATCACTTTTTAAATAGATGAAACCATGACTCTATCACTCAATCAAGAATGACAAAAATGTAAAACATGCTACTCAATAACTCAATAAAAGTCTTGTGTAGCTAGCTCATTGTAGACTTGATTGAAAATGTGAACTGGATGAGACCCCGACATTTCACAAGAATGAGATTTGGCCTTTTCTTCAGGTCAAGGATTTTAATAATATTTTAGAAAATAAGTAGAAAACATTAACAAAAGCATATTTCTGTTTTAATGTTACCTTAAAGGAGCTGATCTTGTTCCCGGAGATATTAAGATTCTGAAGGTTGACATTAGGGTCAAGGCCGTGCCCTTTAAATGAGTTATTAGAAACACGTTATTATTCTATTCAAACAGTTGATTGAACCTCAATCAAAACTAGCTCAGTGAACACAGAAAGTTTTAAAAAAACCTACCGATCTTTTCAATGTTGTTGTCCGCAAGGTTAAGTTCTTTAAGATTGTGAAGCGAGTTCAAGCCCTTTGGGAAAAAAAGACATTTTTCAAAATGAGGAAATATTATAAAATGAGAACATTAGACTGATATGAAAATTAGTGTCAAATTCCTTTTTTGGGGGGCAGGTTTCATTAATCAAATTCACAAGTTAACATAATTTGTAAAACTTCTTTGACAAAACATGCAATCACAGACAAGAAAGCTGGAAGTGAATTCAGAAGTTCAAATTCAAACCTGTATCTGACTTATGCGGTTATTGTTGAGCCACAGGACTTCTAGGTCCCCCTGCATCTGTAAGTTCTTTACTTCACTGATATGATTGTTATAAAGATAGAGTTTCTTTAGTTGCTGACAATTCTGTACCCCTGATATTTCCTGCAAGAAAAGAACATTGAACAAATGACTCTTTAATTAAATGTGACATCTCATGTATAGTTAACTTGTGCAGAACGGAAGAGAAAGATTTAGATAATAAAGTGTAAGGTTAAAACATTGCCCAATAAACGCTTTTATTGAGTGATTGGAAACGTACTGTCAGATTGCACTGGACTACCCAGAGCTCCTGAAGCAGAGTACAGCACTCGAGTCCATCGATGTGATTTATGCTCTGGCCTACTATGGTGAGCTGACAGAGTCTGGGGAATAAGTTAAGACCGACCATCCGGGGGAAACCGGAGAAGAACATCTCCAGGGAGCTGATGTTGCATCCTTCTTGAGCAATCTTTTCATAGGACACACCATTGGCAATACACTATAGAGAAAACACACATACTTAGTATACCACATGACTATGTGACAGAATCACTTGAATGATCATTTGGAATGTAATATTAACAGTAAGATTACAGTTTGGTCTTTTTTTACCTTAATTTGACAAGACAGATACAGTAAATGAGTTTAGAGAGAGTGAGGGATCAAGCACCAAATAACATCTGAATCAGGGGTCGAACCAACGACCACAAGGACTGTGGCCTTGCCTCTCGCCAAAGGGCAACCTGCTCTGCCAACTTGGCTACACCGTTGACCCAAAACAATGCTGATTTATTTGTTGGAAGCAGTAGCATTAAACCCGGCTCTTAACCTATAACCATTTACCATGTAATTCCATACTCACCAGCTCTTTGACCACCTCCTCATCGCCGCGGTGCTTTTGTTTCTCGCTCTGTATCATAGCTCATGAAATGCGCCCTAATGATGCACACATCACGCCTTTAAACAGTGTACTGACAGCACGGGGGAAAAAAACAAAACACCTGAGGTAAGTAAGCAAACAAACCAAAGTTTTCCACACATTTATGCCAACTTAGCTGGCCTTGAAAGTTATGGCACGGGCAAGCTAACGTTAGGTACAGATATTTGGATTGTGCCATAAATGTCAGTAATTGACGGAAGGTAATATATCCGATTGTACGATTCAATCTACCGCGGTAGATAAATGAACGTTATTCTTTACAGCAAATTAAATAATACCGGCGGACCTGTTGAGCTCAAACACACTCTGAAGCCCCTCTGAGTTCAGCAATGTTTGGCATCTGTCTGTGTCCGGATCAGCGTCTGGTTGCTAAGGAGCCATGTTGAAACTTTTGCAGTACTGCTCATACTTAGAGATACCACACGAGGGCGCCACACTACAATTTCATATTTCACAAAACCACAAAAACGCACACTTTTTTGCATTAATGTGTCTAGTACGCCTTAGTTAAAATAAAAAATAAAACACAAATAAAATAAAAACACTCTCGCAATGGTGTCTTCTTTTTAACACTTCCATGTCAATTATTGACATGTAGGCTAAAAAAATCGCCTCCCGTATGCACATCTGAGCCACCCAATTTCCCCCGACTTATCAGTATGTTAAGTCACACCTGCCTGTGTAACCTCACCAGGCACAATTCCCCTCACATTCGCCCCGGTAATGTCAAAAATACTAGCTTTCTTTTGTATGCCGAAAATTGCCATTCACATGAGAATCTGCCCCAAATAAAAAAAAAGTCCCAACCCTGATCCTAGCGGACACCATGACGTCACCGTTGGAGCAGTGAACTAAAACAATCAACCTCACTCCTCTCCTCCTGCTCCCCCCCCCGACCGACCGACCGACCGACCGACAGACTGCACCGCCTCATCTGTGGCGTCCACAAAACCCCTAGACTCAGAAGAAGCCAGAAAAGAAGCTGCATTGTTTGTGTCAATTTCAGTAAACCGCTCATCTTCAGTTAAACCCCGGTGCACGGTAGAGAAGAAGAAGAAGAAGAAGAAGAAGGAGTCTGGTAGCCGTTAAATCGGTCCGATAACTGAAAAAAAAGCATGTCTGCTAAGCCCGGTGAGGAGCTAGGCTCAGAGGGGAGGTGGTTTGGGGATGACTATGAAAGGAATGGCCTGTTTGAGAACACACCGACTCGGTTCGACGAGCTACGTGAAGAATTTAAGCCGAGAAGCGACGAGGCGGCGGGCGACCTGGATCAACAATTTCATCCTTTCCAGGACGACGGGAAAAGGCCTCCAGTTGCTATGGAAACTGCATCTACAGGTACTGAAGTGGGACACTTATCACACTTTAATCTAGATATTTAACAAGTCGTTGTGTTCCCGTCACGTTTTGGTTTCATTTTTTGGTGTTTATTTTTGTTTTTTTTTATCAGCACACCGACGTCGCTGTTCAGGTGTAAACACAGCGACAGAGTCACAGCCGGGTCGAATTAGCGACAGACCGATGTGTCCATTTGTCTGTATGTCTTTTTAAAACTTCTTATCAGAGAAAGAAAGAAAATAGCTTGCTAACTTTTATGGGATGTAGTAGCCTAAATCAGCTGTCAAAACAGTGAAGGGAACTGAATTGCTGAAAGCTTTTGTCTGTAATGGCTAGGGAACATAAATTATGACACATTGTTTTCTGCTGTATTCTTAGGCAGACTCATATTATTAATATTTACAGTTTTTTGGTAGACTACATGATATTCAAGTGTAAAAGGAACCTTCATATGGGATGACAAAAGCATTTAGCAAACAGCCTGTTGATCCTTTAATGGTTTATTAACTTTCATATGTAAAACAGTTGTACTGTACCAGCTCCTTAGTGCAGGTCTATGTTTGTTATACTGTTTGCACTCTTGATATGAAAAGCCACAAAGGGATTATAAATACATACAGGCTGAAGCCTCCTCACTTTCATAAACATATGACTGGCTAAAAAAGTAAATATATGTTACTGTTTATCTGCACCCGAACAAAAAAATAATACTCTGACGTCTGTATGATGGAGGATTTCTGATGATCTTATTTTGTTGATTATATAGTTATGTTACTGGATGCTACAGGCAATGTTTTTGTGGGAACATCATGCAGACCTCAGTCACTCTCTTCAGCAAAGCTCGCTCTTGCTGCTATTTTTAATCCTGAAGGAACCGGGTTCACTATTCGCTTGGTGGGCAAAACTAGAACCCAGCACTTTCATTGAAGAATTCACTGAAAAATTCATGAGAGGATGGTTAAAAAGTACAAGTAAGAAATGTCGCCCAGTTTCCACTCTTTGCTGCTCAGGCTTTTCATGTCATTTTTTTTGTATCTTGAAGTAAGAAATTCTTTTTTTTTTAATGCGTTTGGATTTTAATCCTTTGAGGCACAGACTTTGGCACAGAAGTCTTACTTAAATATCCAACCTAAAAGGATTGCGATGTTTAAATGGGTTGTTCAATATTTATATATTCTTTGGAGCTGCAAAATTATCCTCCGTAAGCAGACAGTGTCAAATATATGGGAACGAGCAAGTCAATATTTGGCTTCAATTTATACAAAAACTGACAAAGCACATGTTCTACTTCTAAAATAGTGTGCCAGACTAGCTAACACTTACGTCACACGAGACACACACACACACACACACACACACACACACACACACACACACACACACACACACACACACACACACACACTGTGTTTTGATTTGTAAAAGAGGAAGGAATGACTATCTCTTATTGTTGTGACTACTGCCATGCTATGTCCACACCAGTGAAGTAATCCACTGTGTCCCTTATCTTCTTGGTTGGAGCAGTGCAGATCTCATCATATCTAGCTGAGCAGAGTGGACATTTTCCTCTCGACCAGACATGTTATAGTCCGTTTGGATCTTTGTCAAATACATTCGCTCCAGTCCCCTCTTAAACAAACTCTCCTTCTCTTCTGCTTCACTGGTGGGGAATCACACAATAACATTTAACGTTTTTCAATGATTATTTTTGATGTTACTGAGGCCTCGAAAAAGATTTGGCCTTCAAAGTGTAAGAGCTGGACGAGAAGTGTCGAGATGTCGAGAATTGCCTCGCCAGAAAATCGATCCGTGTCTGTCTTAAATCTTGTTCACAGCAGTGCTCTACCCACAAAATTGATAATGCTGATATCAGCTGTGTTAAATTACCACAGCCTTAGATCACTCTATCTTCAAAAGTTTCACATCCTGTCAAGGTTTAAAGAGGCATGAGAAAGAAGTTTGCGGAAGATATTGCTGCATCATGACCAGGTCTGACAGTGCTGCAAAAAAATCCCATAGTCATGTTTGTTTTAGAGCATGGTGTGTGTAATATCCTGGTTTTCTGTCATGCATAGAAAAAAACAACTTAGTGCATATGGTAGACAAACAGGGACACCTGATAATGGCAGCCTTCTAACATGTTTACAACTCCTAATAGTGCATTATAATGGTCACTTCATCATGTCCTTTACAGGTGGATTAGACTGGAGCTTTTCTCATCAGTGACAAGGATGAGACAGCATATGTCTGATTGGGTCTCTCACTATCTTTCAGATAGAAAAAGCACTTAGTGGATTGCACTGGACTGCATAAGCCACTACAGTGCATTTCTGCGTTTAGCTGGTGAGAGCTCTGCTCCTGTTCCCGGGGGGGCAGAGCAGTGCTCCGTCTTTTCAGAGTAGATGATAAAGATGCAAGATAATACAGTGGTGATGGTGGGGGGTGGGGGGGGGGGCTTAATGGCAGAAGAGACGAGAGGGCCGACAGTTCAAATAGCCCTGACTGTCAGGGGAAAACATTTGAAATATTAAGTACTGTTCTTCACAGACTTGAATCCAGATTCTTCAAGATGCCTCTGGTCAGCTGCTTGCTTGTGGTTGTCAAGCACCTTTATGTCATTAAAAAAAGGCTTAAGGTTTGTCATATATGTGCTCTCTAAAATGATTTGGCCTAAATGCTCATCCTGCCAGATTTCCAACCTAATTCATCCATCAATTAGCTAATGTTGAGGTATAAAAGTGTGACAGGCTGGGCTGCACTGCAGGGAACAATAACAAAACATTACCGCCATTATGTCAATTAATCATATTTCCTCATGTTTTTTGATCCCATGTGTTTACCCTGAAAACAATTAAAAGCCAGCATGTGAAATATGATGCTTTGATCCTGCCTCGGTCTATCGCAGTTGCCTGTCGGCATCAAGTAATCCCTCAGCAGAGTACTGCAAAAACTGCTCATGGGATTACAGCCACGATCAGCAGACACTTACTAACAGAGTAGTCCATCTCATTTTTTGTATGTGTAGGTTAATGCATCCCACGTCTTCCGACCTGCATCAGTTCTCCATAACCCCAAATTGTCTCTATACTATGAAAGTGAGATGCCAAATCAAAGTCACACTGAATTGACAGCTTTGGCCCAAAGCAGACAGCTCGCAGACACTAAGTCTGGATCCTCCCACATCATCTCCATTCATCTATAAAGCTCTATCCAGGCAAGAG